AGGCAACAGTCAAAACTAGAAGAAAGATCAGGAGGTTCTGACACATTAAACAGAGACCAACCTGAGAGTTTCCAAAAAACCCATTGCAAATGCAGCAGAATTGAAGTGTGTTAAGAAATCGTAAGTATCCATTGGTTGTTGGATGAGGAGATCATTGATGACCTTTGTTTGGGAGCTCCAGCAGGGGTTGGAGAGTGGAGGGCTCATGCTCAGGGCATGCCTCAAATTTAAAGTAAACCTGATGGGTTTATATATAGGGACTGTATCATTGGGATTATGCTAAAAGCTTTAATTTAATAGGTGTCGCCATTTAAATTATGCTACAACTTTTGTAACTGTTTTTGGCAATTCTTTTTTATTGTTTACTATAGACAGAGCAACAACAAACAAACCAAGAAACCACAGAAAGACAGAATAAAGTACCCCAGGCCACTGACAGCCTCCGTGAGGCCAGATGTTTCAGTGGGCTGGTATGTACAAAATGAGTTTGGTTTCTTAAAATAACTGTGCTTATTCTACGAATATTCCATTTCAAAAGGCAGCACCCAGGAAAACATAAACGTATATTATTAAGAGAAAGAAGCCAAACTGAAAAGGCTACACAATGGATGATTCCAACTCTGTGACATTCTGGAAAAGGTGAGACAATGGAGACAGTAAGATCTGAGGCTGCCTGGGAAGAGAGGGAGGAACAGGCGGAGCACAGAGGCTCTGAGGGCAGTGAACCTGTTCTGATGACCTCACAGCGATGGAGACATGTCATTCTCCACCTGCTCCAACCCAGAGAGTGGACCACACTGCGGTGACCCCTCAGGTAAGTGGTGGCCTCCCGCAGATGATGCTGTGCTAGTGCAAGGTCACCAGCTGTCACCGATGGGCACTCTGGTTACACTCTTGCCTGCGATCAGTAACCAGGGGCAAACAGCCAGCTGTGAGCCGCCACGCACCCTGCCTCAGGGAAACAGACAAAACCTACTAGGCTCCTCCTGCCACATGGCCAGGTTCCTACCTTATCACAATACTGTCACTTCCACCAGACCATATACCCGCCCAGGTGCACAGAGCTCCTAATCCCCTCTTTAGACCCACTCCTAACTAGGAACCATGAGCCAGCGAACACTAGACATTTAAGGAAAACCTCCAATATTAAAAGAGAGCAAAACAAACAGAAGAAGGAACCCAGAATAAACAGACAAAGGGCGGGAAAAGAAAAAGCAATACAATGAATTTATATGCATATGTATGTATAATCCGTGGACACAGACAACATAGTGGTGAAGTCCTGGGGGTTGGGAGCCGGAGCGGGTGGGGAGAGGTTAATGGGAGAAAAAGGGGATATTTGTAATACTTTCAACAGATTTTTAAAAAGGAAGAAAAACAAAAAGCAATACAGAAAAGAATGGAGATAGATTCTGCACTCATGAAATAAATGCTGGATACTGGAGGTTAAAAATTCAAACAATTCCTAGAATAAGCACATCTTTTTAGAAATTAAGGATAACTAGCAGAAGTTAAAAGTTCCATAGGAAATCTCAGAGATATAAGTTGAAGACACGACAAAAAGTAGAAGAAAAAGACAAAAAAATAAGAGTGACAGAAAGAAGATAAAAAGGAAAAACAGAAGACATATCTATGAAATAATGTAAGAAAACTTCTGAGAAATCCTGATTTGAAGCAGCCCACCTAGTCCTCAGCACAGAGACTGAAAACAAGAGCCACACCAAAGCATAGGGTTGTAAAATTTCAAAGCAATCGCCACAGAGAAGAAACTGCAAAAGCTTCTAGCGAAGGGAAAAGGTCATATAAAAGAGTTGACAAGCAGGTGGCTCTAGACCTTTCCACAGCATCCCTGGAGGGCAGAATAGCTCCCGATAATGCAGCAGTGACATCAAATATCTGCGGGTGAATGGTTCCAGCCCAGGCTGCTTCACCCAGGCCAACGCCATACCAGTGAGAAACATGCGAACACACAGGTCTCCCAACATTTACCCTCACGTGCCCTTCTTCTCGGGAGGTTACTAGGAGATGAGCAGCAGAAAGGAATAAACCTTAGGAAACACCTTGAAATGAGGGAAGGACCACACAAGAGCATGTCACAGCATCTAGAAAACACAGGATTGGACACGGGAGACAAGTACAGGGACTTCCTGGGCCTCGGTTCCAGGGGGCTGCAGGGCATGGCCGTGCAGCAGGCCTGGAGAGCAAGCGGGCCAGCCAGGCAGGAATAGATGGAAGAGAGGCCTGGAGTGGGTGTGGAGGAAGGATGGATGAGAGGGAGGGAAGGATAACCTGGTAAGTGTCAGTATCCTGGGAGAAGATCTGCCATCTGTCAGAGACTTTGAAAATGAAATCATGAAAGATAAATACAAAAAGTAAATTTAAAAAAAATTAACTCTAGCGGGGGGGAAAAATTCAGTAAAGGAAACAGACGATAATCTCAGCCAAAAATAACAGCTATACAATCATAGGAAGAAGAACACTGAGTATTAACTTAAGTAGAAGTAATTTTAGTATAAGGACAATGGAAATAATAGCTACACAATCATAATAAGAAGAACACTGAGTATTAATTTAAGTAGAAATTGTAATTTCATTGGGGAGCAAAACCATGATGTGGGAGGGGAATAAGAGAATTGGCCTCATCTTCAGAAAATGGAGCCCCGGCTCTCCCCATGTTAAAAAGAATGGCAGTGACAGCATGAGGAACAGCTGAGGGCTGAAAGTGATTGTCCTCAGGACAAAACGTGGTGTTAGGTGCGAGGAGCAGAGGCAGGAAGAAATACAGACTAGTCCACTATTTCAATTATGTGTATACTCTATTTTGATAAAACTTGTACTACATAAACAAATGGCAGGGTGTTTGGGCTTGTAGCCTATCCCTGTAAGAAGCCCAAATATCCTAGAAAAAACAAATAAATAAACTGGTCCAGACATGGAACTTTTTGTTATTTCCTTTTACATCTGGGGAAATACTGACGAAGTCATCACAGAGGCAGGAAGGAGATGGGGCATCTGAAGGAGCGGGTTCCCCCTGAGGAGACAGGAGGAAGGGTCTGAGGCTTGGGTGTCTGAAACAGTCCTAGACAGAACAACCGAAGGCTCTTCCTCTGTGATCAGGGGTAGAGGATGGAGAAGCATCAACCTGGAAAGGAAGCTACTTGAGCAAGACACATACCTGTGGTGAGAGGGCCAACACAGCGCTGGACAATGTCTTTTCTGAGGCAGCTAAGGAGAGTGTTTGAGAAGTTACCAGAAGAAAATGTTAACCTCAATCTGATCAGGTAAATTTGACCTTAGAGCAGGGAGGACACACGCGTAATTGACAGTATTTGTCCTCAGTCATTCCTCCGTGCTCCCATAAAGCTTTCTAACACCACTGTCATGTTAACACCAGTACTTTAAAGGGTTGTGTTCCTACTAAACCAGGAATCCTCAACAACCATCTTGTCCATCTATACTCAACCAACACTGACTCACAGTGGTGCCTGACAGGAAATGCAATTTTGTTGTGCAGACACAGAAACATTTCCTTCCCAGAAGTACAAAGGCATGTCAATACACCAACACACATGTATGGCCTTAAAATGTTTTTATAGGTCAGAAGTCAGTATTCAGTAATTTTACTATACATGTTTAAAACAATACAGACTGTTCCCAGACAGAGGGTCAGAGTAGTTGAGCATCCACCTATACACCAGGAGATCACGGTTTGATTCCTGGTCAGGCACAGGCCTTGGTTTCGGGCCGATCTCCAGTGTGGGGCATGCAGGAGGCAGCCAATCAGTGATTCTCTCTCATTATTGATATGCCTGTCTCTCTCTCCCTCTCCCTTCCTCTCTAAAATCAATAAAAATATTTTTAAAATAATAATAACACATAATGTCCCTTCATAGGTAACTCACACACACACACACACACACACACACACACACACAAATACTCTGATTTAAATTCAAATTTATATATGGAGCTGTCTCTCTAAGTACACATGCATCCTAGACTCTGTTTTGGGCGATGCCCATACTTTGCCCTCAGAAAGGCAGAGAAGGCTGCATGAACCTATTACTACCTCATAGATTCTAAATTAAAGTTCAGGAACATTCACAATGAATGGAAAATCCATAGTTGCTCATCAATACCTGCCTGACCTAATAATTAATCTGATAGTTTTATGTTTTAAAAGATCAAATTTAATGATCCAGAATTTAAGCACAGTTGGTCTCCAATAAGCACTTTCTATCATTTCAAATATTCTAATTTTACACTCTTTCTAAGAAGGAAATAAGTTACTATTCGCTATGAATAGCATAATAATAATGCTAATTTTTAGAATTCTGTTTTCCTCTTTCCTGCATTTACATTGAAAACCACTTTCCTTGGTATCTGCCCGACACTCTTTCAACAAAACATTTCAGATCCATCTCAAATAGGTTCAGATGGGGAGAAGAGGAGTTTAAAAAAATAGAATAAATATATAAAAGCAAAAGCTTTGTTTACTAGTTAAATCTTTTGCTGAATTTAGAGGATATTTTTGATTGCTATTCATTAAAAATGTTCTTGTCATTAACATAGCAGAAAAATAAATATGAAAAGTCTATATTAAATACCAGGTAATGTCAATAAATCTTAATCTTTAGTTTTATAATGCAGCAAAACAAAGAATTATAATTATCCAAATGATTTACACTAATCAATAATTTAGGACAAAATGCAGATTGCTACACCTGTGTGCACCTGTCCACAAATCCCACAAGGTGTAAGTTGACCAACTAAGATTGTTCAAGTAACATCATACCACGTAGAACAACCAAACCGGCATCTTCATAACTCCATCCTTTCCAAAACAATTCCCCAAAATGCATTTTATAACACAGAAGGGTACCTGACAATGGAACTATGTCAGTTCTGCCTTTAAGGTCACGCAAGCTACAGGGGAGTTAGTTCATCAGCTGCAATATGACTTGAGTTTACGAGAGCATGCAAAGCATCTTCTAAAATACCTGATTTTGACTTCAGGATAACCTGAATGGTATGTCCATCATTGGTGACCTCACAGTCCCGGCAGACCACATAATTGGGCGAGAGGCGGACATCCAGCAGTGAGGGGTCATATCTGGCTTCCCTGGAATTCAGGTTTATGGGAGACTGGTATTCCCCATTAGCATCAGGAAACACCAACCCCCATTCAACACCTAAGGACAAAAAGGAAGCACACTTATAACAGGTTACCAAAAAAGTTACAATAAAATTTAACATGTTAACACTAGTTGAAACACTGTTTATAATCCTGGCCATCATTCAGAGGGTTATGACTACCATCTCTATACAGATGAACTATGGTAAATGTGTGTCAGTATTTGCATTTATACTTTGTATAGTCCAATAGTCTCAAATACGACATACAAAATCCTGAACTAACAAAATATTCTGTTTGTAGTTGTCCACAAAGGGGCAATAATTTATGACTAAGAAACTCAGGTCATCTTAAAGTGATCAGGAAAAAAAAGTAATACCACAAAGTTTTCTCTGCCCCTCAGTTCAGTTATGTGCAGGACTTGGGAAATACCTATAACTCTCAAGATGCTTAGTGAGAACCCAAAACAATAAATCTGATGCTCGTGAATAAACACCTCTTATCAAAAATGCAAATAAAGCATATGTACAGGTTCCCATACCTATGTATTCATTCATACATGCTCTTTCCATATTTTTATAATGAAAATTATAAACTACGCATTTTCAATAGATGGAGTCACCATCAGCACCCGGGGGGTCGGCTCCATTAAAAGACCTACATCTTCAGGGACAAATTCAGGAATCTAAACTTTGAGAAAAGTCCACCCGCTTCTCGCCAAGCCCACTGACCCAGCCTGACATTGAGGACCTGTCTGGCATGAGGGGGGCCTTGCTAGCATCCTTCAGGAAAGGAGTAGGGGCAGAAACACTTGCTTCTAAAGCAAGTAAGACACGAACAGTTTGGCTAACACTGTGTTCTCCGGGTGTGGAGCAAAAGGCAGCGCTGTTCCTCTTAGCGACTCAGAAGAGGAGGAAAGTCCCAGCAGCGGCTGCAAAGCTCGCCCTCCGAGTGGAGGCAGTGCCAACACCTGCCGGGCGGTAAGGCCGGGCTTCCCAACAGGAACGCAGGTGGCCGGCCCGCCCTCTATCCCCGCCGCTCCTGGTGCCCCGAAACCGGCCAGGGGACCGGGAACGTGACGAGGGACCCACGTGGGAAAGCGGGGACCCCGGGGTGCTGGGGGCGCCTGAGCCCCGCGGTGTGCGGAGCGGCGCGCTGGGCGGGACACGGACACACACACGCGGCGCGCAGCCCGGGACGCGCCGTCCAGGGACCCGGGGCACCCGGACCGGCGGCGGGTTACCTTCTTCGTAGCCCCACTCCACGCCCTCCTCCTCCTCCTCTTCGTCCTCCTCCTTCTCCGGGAAGGCCACGGAATCTTCGATGAAGCTCAGGTCAGCCATGGGGAGGCCCTGGGTCCTCCGCGCTCTCGCTGGCGGGGCGGGAGTGGGAGCGCGGGGCGGTGCGCGCCGGAGGGTGCGAGCGCGCGGGTGCGAGTGGGGGCGCAGGGAGCGGGCTGAGCGCTCGTGGCGAGAGGCGAGGGGGGTGCGTGTCCGTGGGGGTGCGTGTCCGCGGGCGGCGGGCCGGGGCTCTCTCTCGGCGGCCAGCGGGGAGCGTCCCCAGCCTGGGCGGGCGGAGCGCGGGGCAGGGCAGCCCTTGAAGCACCAGCTGGCGAGTTATAGCCCCGGCGGGGGGCGTGTCTGCCCCGGAGGCCCCGCCCCCTTGGCTGGGTGGCCCTGACCCGGGAGGGGAGGTGGGGGGAGGGAGGGATGGGAGAGATGGGGGGGGGGGGGTGGAACCGCAGGAAGAGGCTCTGGGCTACCGCGCAGAAACCTCGGAAACCGCTGGGTCCACTCCCCTCCTGGCTCTCTCGCCGCCCTTCCTGAGCCTCGCGCCCTGAGTCCCCGGGCCTGGCTGCTCTCCCTTCTTTTCTTCCTAACTCCAGGAAATAGCAAGAAGGAAGGAAGAAAGGGGTCGGGGAGGGAGAGATAGATTGCCTAGGGGAGGAGAAAAGAGAGGGGCTGGAAGAGCCCGTTCACCAAAGAGCGGCCCCCACTCTGAATCTTTGTTACTGAGAATTTACTGACTTTCTCTCCGTCCTGGCCACATAGTGGAAACGAGTATGGAAACACTTCCAAGAAATGTGTAGTTCCTAAAAAACATTTAAGGGGAAAAACTTGTTTTAATCTAGAGAAGTAATTGTAAGTTGGGGATATTTTTCCATATATGTGTGTGTGTGTGTATATATATATATATATATATATATATATATATATATATATATATATTTTTTTTTTTTTTCGCAGACAAGAGGAGTGAAAGGCAAGAAAGCTCATTTGTTGTTAGTTTCAGACCCTCGGGTGCTGCTGCGGAGGCAGCTGGCTGTGTACACAGCTCCAGGCAGCCGAATGAAATCGTGTAAATAATGAAATGCACACATTGCATCACAAACAGGAACTTTCCTGGCCCAAAGAGGTGGCATTGCTCCCTCCCGACCCAGTGCTAGTGACTTCAGCCCCTGTTCCAATGTCTTTTTTAAAAGCTTTAGGCAGTAACCCCTGAGCAGATAACACCACTTTTTTTAGAAGGTGTCTGTGTATAATAAACTCCGATTTGGGCCTTTGGGGAAAGCTTGGTTTTATATGCTCTGTGCACTCATGAACATGTCTGTTGGCAGTTTGAATGGTGGGTTCCTAAATCATACCGTCCTAGGGATGCTTCATTCCTCATATGAATGACAAAGATGCTCAGTTTGGGGATTTGGGGTTCTGTTGTCCACTGCCTGCTCAGCCCTCCCCTTTTTTAAAAAGCCACTTCACAGGCAATTAGAAATTTCTCCAGAAAATGGATTGGGACTGAAAGGGGGCTGGAGGGAGAGAGAGGGAGGAATTCAACAATCTGCCACTTTCTCGAATGTTCAGCAACATAGGTGAAAACTATTGGTCAACTTTAGTAGCTGTGGGGATGACCTGTGGATTTCCTGTAATTGGAGTAATTTAGCTTTCTCCTTAACACAACACCAGAAAGTCCACCATCCAGAGGACTGAGTCAGTCTGAGAGAAACTAAATTATTTCTTTACTCAGTGCCTCGTAGATGCTCTTTGGTGAGTAGCCTCTCTCCTCTGCACCTTCCTGAGCCTGAGCTTGACAGAGCAGAACGCTATCCCAAAGCTATAGCTTTTTTCCTTTTTTTTTTTCCTCCTAGAGAGAAAGGGAAAGGGAGAGAGAATCATTAATCCGCTGCCTCCCACATATCCCACTCTGGGGATTGAGCCCGCAACCCAAGCATGTACCCTAGCAGGGAATCGGACCTTGACCTCCTGGTTCATAAGTCAATGTTCAAGCACTAAGCCACGCTGGCTGGACTAAGGCTATGACAAAAAAAAAAAAGAAAGAAAGAAAGAAAGAAAGAAAGAGAGAGAGGGAGGGAGGGAGGGAGGGAGGGAGGGAGGGAGGGAGGGAGGGAGGGAGGGAGGGAGGGAGGGAGGGAGGGAGGGAGGGAGGAAGGAGGAAGGAAGGAAGGAAGGAAGGAAGGAAGGAAGGAAGGAAGGAAGGAAGGAAGGAAGGAAGGAAGGAAGGAAGGAAGGAAAGAAAAGAAAAGAAACACTACCCCACATATTAACCACTTTCTTCTAAAGGAGCATTTCATTTCTTTCTCCTTTCATGGAAACCTTTTCAGAATCTTGGAAGTTTTATAAACTTTCTTTTAGAAATATGCCCATGCATTAATCGAATGCTACAGCTAGTGGACCCCATTGAAGGTTGCCTAACAAAATATTTTTGCCACTGTGGGCCCATCAGCAATGTTCAATTCTCTCTGCCCCCACATGTATGTAGAGGCTACATCATAGCCATGGTGTGACCACCAGTTGTATTTAAAGCATCACATGAATGATAGACATGTTTACCAAACCTGAGGACAGGTAAGTCACTATGGTAAAAACTCCACTTCCCACAAGTAAATGGTGTGCCACATTTACATATAATACTGTGTTTCCCTGAAAATAACACATCCTCCGAAAATAAGACCTACTTACAGGTTTCCTTCTGAGTGAAATATAAGGCATCCCCCCGAAAATAAGGCCCCCCCCCCTAGGCTAATCATGAGAGATTTGGTCCACTGATTCTGAAAGAAATGGAGTCACAAGAAATTCACCAGGAAATTCAGGAATTGGATTGTTATGATGATGTTCCAGAAGATGATGACATGATTGTCATTGAATAAATGAGTAAATTCTTGATACTGTAGGATTCACAGTTTGTCTGTTTTGTGTTGACAACTATCATACTACCGTACCGTATACAGGTAATAAATTTCCTTTATTTTCATTTAACAATAAATGTGTATCATATTCTTCTTCATGGAAAAATAAGACATCCCCTGAAAATAAGACCTAGCGCATTAATATTAATATTAATATTAGACACTGTCTTATTTTCTGGGAAACAGGGTACATCATCTATATATTGCATAGATAAGCTAAAAGACTGAATTGTTAATACTGAATTTTGCAGCTAACAGGTAATTTTGCATATAGCCAACCATGAATCACCATTCATAAATGCAGTTAACTACCAGACAAACATGTTTACCCGCATTTGTTCTTTCTGAATTTTTCAACATCATGTGTATAATGTAACACCTCTCAAGCCTACAGTACCCTGTCCATCAACATATGAGCCATTCCACTGTGCATCCAAATATTCAATTAACAGCCTTAATTGCTTTGAGACTATATGCTTCAGAATTCTGCTAATTAACAGCACCTTAAGACCTTCTCTTCTCAGTTCCCTGTACTATATTATCACTAAAGATGGAACTTCTATTTCTAGTTATTATAAGGTATCTGCCACCATAAAACCTAAACACACAGATCAAAGATATAGGGCAATTCTTGAATTTACAAAATAGAACAAGCACACCTCAATGTAATATCAAAAAATCTAAAAATATTCCTGCTCTATATTTGAACACAAGGACTCCACATATCCCTTTATATAATTTTAATGCATTACAACCTGTTACCATACTTGATACTTACATTATATTATTTACTTTTAGTGTTTGCATAACTAACACTAAACAACATCAGTAGCACAATTTATTTTTTAAATATATTTTTATTGATTTCAGAGAGGAAGAGAGAGGGAGAGAGAGACAGAAACATCAACAATGAAAGAGAGAGAATCATTGATCAGCTGCCTCCTACATGCCCCACATTGGGATTGAGTCCACAACTAAGGCATGTGCCCAAACCATTAAATTGTGACTGTGACTTGTTATTTCCTGGGTCGATGCTCACCCACTTAGCCAGACTGGCATGGCAGTAGCACAATTTATTAAAACCAAGGTCTATATTATTAATTACTATTTGATACTAAGACAGTATAAACAGAAGCACCTAAAAGGGACAGGCTACCTAGATGTCAAAGGAACATAGAGAGAAGATTGGGTCCAGCACCCCATCTCCACACAACCCCCTCCTGCCAATCTTTTCTCACCAGTTGCTGTCTTACCGAGCTTTCTTACTGTGTTGGTGGAACAGGCATAAATAATTATTACCCTCTTCTTGTGGGCACCTCATGATCTGGGAACACCTCAAGGATAGAGCTAGCATGTGCACGTCAGATGACTTCTAACCAGACTATAAATCTCTGAACTTCAACAACAATGAATTATGTTCTTTCCTATGCCCTCAAGGAATGCACAGTTCTCTTGAGGAGGGGTGGAAAGTAAATAATTACTAGCAATAATGAAGGCAATATGTTCAATAGAGATGCAAGTACCATTACATCTAAGAATGATGCAAATCCTATGCATGGAAACAATCCAGAATGGCTTTTTGGAAAAGATATCATTCGAGGCAAACCAAAAAGGATAGATAGGATTGAGGGGAGAGGGGTAGCATTGAATGAGTGGATAGCATTCTGGGCATGGGCAATGGTGCTGAATAATGACAATGCTGCTGAAGACAATTCTCTCCTCAGGCACCTTCTGTGACCTGTCAACCCCAATTCAAATTACTCAAAAACTGTGGCTTCAATGGGCTCATGCCTGAAGTAGGACACTTCTCTGGTTGGTTACTTTGTTAGCATGTTTTTTTGTTTGTTTTGTTTGTTTGTTTGTTTGGTCTGTAAAACCATCAAAATTTTCCTCATTATACACATTTTGATTTTTGAAGATTTCAATCTTTTGTTTATAAGTCAAAAAGCTCTGATTCTTTTCCTCTCTCTTTCTTTCTCTCCCTCTTTCTCTCTCTCTCTCACTCGCTCGCAAGCTGATGTTTATTATAATTACACTGCACCTTACCAAGTAGAGATCTTGCACATGAATCTTTCAATGTAGAACAGTTGCCCATCAGGACATACATATCAAGGTAGAGATGTGAACAGAGCATTATAA